CTGGTCCCGGGAAGGGGGGCAGGGCTGGGTGGCATCAAGTGTCTGGCTCATGTTGTGGCAGGTGCAGGGTCTGCTGTCTGGGTGCTGGCAGGCTTGTAACTGGCACAAACACTGTAGCCAGCCCGTGGCCCTTTAAGGGCTCCGGGGCCGGGAGGGGGACAGAAGAGTTTCCCTGGTGTTGGCCAGAGTAGCCACCAGGGCAAGCTGGGGAGGGCTAGCCTCCCACTAGTTCAAACTAAGTGGCTACACAGCCCTTAATTCGAACTAGTTAATTCGAACTAGGCGTTACTCCCCGTAAACTGGCACAAACACTGTAGCCAGCCCGTGGCCCTTTAAGGGCTCCGGGGCCGGGAGGGGGACAGAAGAGTTTCCCTGGTGTTGGCCAGAGTAGCCACCAGGGCAAGCTGGGGAGGGCTAGCCTCCCACTAGTTCAAACTAAGTGGCTACACAGCCCTTAATTCGAACTAGTTAATTCGAACTAGGCGTTACTCCCCGTAGAATGAGGTTTACCTAGTTCGAATTAAGCGCTCTGCTACTTCGAATTAATTTCGAACTAGCGGATCGCTAGTGTAGCGCCTATCGAAGTTAATTCGAACTAACGGCTGTTAGTTCGAATTAACTTTGTAGTGTAGACATACCCTCTTTGTGCCTCTATGGATTATCCTTCCTGACAGAGCAGTTTGATATTGAACTTTCAGTCTCTTTCTCCTCCCCCACTACACTTAATTTATCCCCTAGGAGAGCGTTTGGCCCCCCTGGAACATAAAGCAAGGCAGTGGTTTTCAAACTCTTGGTTGCGACCCAGTACCAAGGCATGGAATGTCAGGCACTGGGTTTTGTTGCTCAGGAGGATCAGGTGACCAGTGGGATGCTAAGGCAGGCTACCTACCTCTCCTGGCACTGCAGACTGCACTGGCCCCAGAAGTGGATGGCAGCAGGCCCGGCTCTTAGGTGAGAGGGAGGGGAGAGCACTCAGGTCTCCATGCACTGCCTCTGTCCCAAGCACTAGCTCCATAATCCCATTGACTGTGAACCTGTTGCTGGCTGCTTCTGTGGCACAGCATGGTCTGCAGTGCTAGGCGAGGCAGGAAGCCTGAACACCCCTGCTGCCCAACTGATCAGGAGCCGCTTGAGGTAAGCCCCCTCCATCTCTAGCTCTGACTCTCCCCCAAAGATGGAGCTGCTTTCTACACCTGAAAGTTCTCATCCTCAGCCCCACCTGGGAGCCCACACTAGTGAAATTATGGTGGGTCAATCAACAATTTTTTTCTACTTGGTCAGAAAACCACAAAACCAATGTATGGTTGGCAGCCTGTGGGACACGCAGAGAAATAGCTGGGAGTGACTTGCATGCTGCTGTTTGTGAGCAGTCCAGAACTAAGGCTGTCAACAGTCCCTTATTACAAGGAATGTCCGATATTTCATCATCTCTGTACAAAGTGCTGAAAAAAGCAACAAGAAATATGCCCTGGCGAATGTAGATGAGTACTAATTTATTTTGAGGAGGAGGAGGGTTTTTTGAAAAATATTACTGGCAACCTTAAGACTAGAGGTGACATCAACATGCAGTGTAAAGGGCACCCCAAGATAGAGGGCAGGAGTGACACAGTACTCATTAGTCTAGATTGTTGTAGCCAGACATGAACCCCATCTCCCCCCCCCCCCCCCAGAGAGCAAGAGAAAGGCAGTCAGCCTTTGATGCCCTGAGAATGCAGGTGTGCTGCCTGTCCCTGACTCTACCATAAACAGAAACCAGACAGTAAATGGGCTAGCTGACGACTGGGAGGCCTCCCGTCGCCGTGATGGCTAGTATCAGTAATTGACATGCCTGCACTGTCCCAGGAGAGGAATCTTTGCCCATCACATACCAGAGGTGCCCATTGTCTGCATTTTCCCAGGTGTGAATTATGCTTTGCACCCTTCATGGGAAACTTGGCATTCAAAGCCATTTTTCCTAATTGGCCACTTGAGACCAGGAAGAAGCCTACGTGACCCAAGGGGTATAAAGAGGGGTTTAGTAGCCCACCCCATTTGAGCTCCAATCACCTACACCTGCTGGCAGGTATTGATTGTCTCCCGAGGTCCGTGGGACGCCCAACCTCACCCTACTTCTTCCCGAGGGATTGAGAGAAAGACGCTGGCCATGCCATGTCTGGAACGCAGGGGTGAGAATTGTACCTGCAATGTGTTTCTTTATGTGTACACTTTAATTGTCACTCTGTTATAAGTTTAGTTACTTTATTATAGTTTCTTAAGTCAAACTGCTTCATTTCTATTGTAAACTGCCTTTGGTAAGGTGATTTAGCTATTAACTTTGGAAATAAGTGAGTGCCCTCATTCACTTTATATATATATATATATATAGAACCAAGTTTCTTTTATTTTATTTTCTCTTTTCTTTCTCCTACAAATAAGTGCGTATCAAGCTTCTGACTTGAACCCGTGCTGCTGTACCCGAACCGAACACAAACAAAAGAACTTCAGCTGGTCAAAGGGACAGGTATAGGAAGAGCTTGGGCGTTTTGGATCATGTCACTCCCAGATGACAGATCTGTTGGGGCATCTCTCAGTCTTTCCTAGACTGCCCGCTGCGAAGGGATCCTGTATCCTAGCAGCTAAAATCTGAGGCGTAATAAGCTCTTCCTATAAACTGGGGGCATCTGAGAACCTGTTGGCTGCCCTCTGCGACGGGACCCCGGTCCTAGCAGTAAAGTCACAGACGTTAAACTCTTTTTCGGGTGTCCTCTAGCCTCCTAGGCTGCCCACTGCGACGAGACCTTGCGTCTCAGCAGTTGAAGACTTGGGTGTAACACACATGCACACACTGCCCTGACCATTGGCTGACAATTGTACCCTGGCATGTCACAATAACTACCTTTTATTAGCCACTGATTGGGAAGATACCTGCAATCCTGCCATATTAAAATACTAAAGACCATATGATGCATCTTAGATTCCTTGAAAAATGAATAATTTTAAAGACTGAAATATTATGACCAACTAATGTTACAAAGGAATAAAAAAGGGGGTTGACACCTTCCTTTACTTTATAATAATTTTCCAATTCTGTTTAACTGGGCATTTGGACACAGAAACAGCAATTACTTAAAACACAAGGGCAACGTCTACACTCTGCATTGCTGCGCAAGAAGATATGCAAATGAGGTATGATAAATATCGCCGTGCCTCATTTGCATAACTAATGAGCCACCATTTTGCAGAAGGGGCTTTTGCACAAGAAGGAGGTGTCTACACTGCTCCTTCTTGTGCAAAAAACCCTCTTGCAGGGAGCCATTCTTCCTGAAAATAAGCAGTGTAGACAGCTCCTTCTTGCGCAAAAGCCCTTTCTGCAAAGTGGCAGCTCATTAGGTATGCAAATGAGGCGTGGCGATATTCATTGCTGCGCCTCATTTGTATATCTTCTTGTGCAACAATGCGCAGTGTAGATGTAGCCAAGGACTTTTCATAGAATCATAGATTGAGATTGGTTTGCCAGTTAACACTGATTAGATTTGACTTTTACGTAATCACCAAAAATGTGTTCAAGCACTAAATAAAGATCACGATGTCATGTCTAATTGCTCAACTGGGGTTCAGATAAAAATACACAGGGCACAGGATTTACTTTTTTAAACCTCCAAGCAGGTCTCCCCTATTTTAATAGTGAATATTTCTTAGGTTCTGATCATGCCCCAGCACCCACATAGAACTCTGAAAAAGCAGAGTCATTATAAATTGCATTTGATGTTCTCCTTTCAAAAAGCATTGAACACAATAAATACAATAAATGAAACTGCAAAACTGTAAATTGACTATAATTTGTGGGGGAGGAAGCAATCATGAAAAGCTTGTTATATGTTCTTGCAAGCCACCATGAAATTACACATTCCGTGGCTGAGTGGAGATATTCCCCCATCCTCCATTATCCTATTGCCCTTTTCAGTAGCAAAGACAGTACCTTTCAGGGTCAGTACATGGAATCCAGTTCACCTGTGGATCTGGGATGTCCTCAAGATATGGGTAAATGGTTTCCCTTGTGAAAACCCAGCCATAAACACCATCTTCAGGAGTCACAATGATACGCGCCCCCTGGCGAAACAAACTAAATTAAATGAGTCTCCACTTAAATAAAGATAGAAATGTAGCCGTGTTAGTCTGGTGTAGCTGAAACAAAATACAGGACTATGTAGCACTTTAAAGACTAACAAGATGGTTTATTAGATGATGAGCTTTCGTGGGCCAGACCCACTTCCTCCACTGTTTGATCTGAGGAAGTGGGTCTGGCTCACGAAAGCTCATAATCTAATAAACCATCTTGTTAGTCTTTAAAGTGCTACATAGTCCTGTATTTTGTTTCACTTAAATAAATACATCCAAGTACAGAATGACCAATGACAATACCTGCAGGGCTGCTGCTTTGATGGCCTCTTCCAGAACATCCATGTTTTTGTTCATCAGCATCAATGCATCTTCACGAGAAACAGGTATGTTGGTGTCCTCTGACAATATAACAGAGTGCTCATACACTGCTGCAATATAGCTGTCCAAGGCACAGGCCTTAACAGCATGCAGAATGAAAATTGCAGTATAAACATGAGGCTGAGAACAGACCATGTTTGAAGCTTGGTAGTTGCTCAAAATGACAGCAAAGACAGGCAAGTCTAGGGGATTAAATCAGAAAACTGATTGCCTCACTTTAGAAGCCTCCATTAACCTATTTAAACAAAGGGATTCTGTTACAGAAAGTCAACATTGCAACACAATTATCACAGCTAGAAAATCTTACACCACAAAGTCCTGCACAAGCAATGTTGTACTGTTTCAATTATCTTTTTGTTGACTCAGAAGTCCCTGGGCAAAATCTTCAGAAACACAACACTGCACGTCTATGGCAGAGCCAGTGGTGAGAATTTAAGGCTAGATAGCCCAGTAAAAAAATCAGGTAGGGTGAAATCACAGCAGAATACAGTTACTTACACATGCTGAAATAAACCTTTCTACCTTAAAATCACAGAATTTAGTTACTGCAGTAGAACTGTACGAGTAAACCAAGCAGGATTTCATGTGAGGGAGTAAAAGATGAACAGGCCACATATGGCATTTTAAAAAATAAAACTGATTTTTAAAATAGCAGATGCAATTAGATAACCTTGAGAACAATATCTTAGTAATGAGACTTCTTTAATTGCATACTGTCCTTAACCTGTTCTGGATCAGAGCCATTTTTAAACCCCCAAAATGTTCCAGAACAGTCAGTTCTAAAGTTGCACAATCAAAATTATATAAATAAAGTGAGAACACCACAGTACAGACAAATAAGCCAGACACACTGAATTTTGAATGGCCAACACAGGCAATAAATAGCTTTATTACTAAAACTGCCTTGACATTCTATTCTAAAGTTGCATATGGGATAAAAATGATACATGCATTATAACAGAGAGCGATGTACTAGTTATGAAAAAAACAGGCCAAACTGACCTTTAACTGCCTGTTCCAGACAATAAAAGAGTTAATTATTAATATAACACAGATTCCCAAAGCACAGAACACAAAAAAATTGCATATAACCAAGTGAAAAAATACTGCTGAGCAAAACAAAAAAACAAAACAAAACAAAAACCCAGACTCTCAACCCCAGACTTTAACTACTAGTTCCAGTGAAAACATTATTCTTTCTTTATTAAAAATGTTCTAAATGGCATATTCCCAAAGTGAAGGGAGAATAAAAATAATAAACAATTGCAATATTTGTCAAAAGCCAGTCAGAACTTTTAATACTATACCAATTTCTCTGCAATAAAACATTATGGGTTATTACTTTTATTAGCATATTTATAATATTATTCTTATTGTTGATAGCCAAAAGAGTAGTGGTAGATTCTTTAGTCGGTGTTTTACTGCTGGAAAATTTTCACATAAGTTGTTTTTCTAAGGAACAGGTTATGTGCTACAATCTAAATTCTTTTGAGGGTTGTTGTTATTGTTGTTGTTTTTAATCAAAACAAATTCTCCTAACTGGGCAAAGAATTAAACCTCACCCTCTCGAGCAGTGGTCCCCAACCATTAGAGGTTGCCAGGCACCAGGGGGCATGGCCATTCGCCCACCGGGCGCCAGGGGGCGGGGCCACTTGCGTGCCCGGGGGCGGACCCCCCCATAGCCGCATGCCCGGGGCCGGTGTATAGTCAAAAAGTGCAACTTCTCAGTTTTTGTGACTGTCACAGTTTCTGTCATGCATACATGACATTCGGTACAACTGCTCAGGACTTGCTACCTTTGCTGGCTGGTTGCAAATTCAGAGGGACTGTGTTTTTTGGTCGAAAAATCTCTCAATTTGCTACCTCCTTGCTAACGGACTCAGGGGATGCTGGTGTTTTGCCTTGGGCGGGGGCCTTTTGCTCCTGGTCCACAAATTCAGAGGGACTGTGTTTTTTGGTCGAAAAATCTCTCAATTTGCTATCTCCTTGCTAACAGACACAGGGGATGCCGGTGTTTTGCCTTGGGCGGGAGCCTTTTGCTCCTGGTCCATGTGTTACAAATTCAGAGGAATTGGGGTTTTTGGTCGAAAAATCTCTCAATTTGCTATCTCCTTGCTAACAGACACAGGGGATGCCGGTGTTTTGCCTTGGGCGGGAGCCTTTTGCTCCTGGTCCATGTGTTACAAATTCAGAGGAATTGGGGTTTTTGGTCGAAAAATCTCTCAATTTGCTATCTCCTTGCTAACAGACACAGGGGATGCCGGTGTTTTGCCTTGGGCGGGAGCCTTTTGCTCCTGGTCCATGGGTTACAAATTCAGAGGGACTGTGTTTTTTGGTCGAAAAATCTCTCAATTTGCTACCTCCTTGCTAACGGTCTCAGGGGATGCTTCCGTTTTTCCTGTTAATTTGCATTATATATACACACAACGACGCAAATTCTGATAAATATAATTCATACTTTAAAAATGTATTATTTCATAGTATCATAATCTATTTACATATCTTGTCATCTTTATGAAGTAGAACTGCACTATGAACATTTTTGGCACTTGTACTCTGTCTTCTCATCATTTATCATTTCTTGATTGATTCCTTCCGGAATGCATGGAATATGTGCCCACCTCTTGCAGGAATCACGCTGGAGCTTTGATAAGTGACAGACAAAAAAAATAACTCACACAACTTATAATGTAACACATACTTTCTACGCAATCATGGCATTCCTTCCTCATGTAATCTTTTCCTAAGATGTTCCTATCAGTGCTGTTTGATAACAATTTTTTATGAGAGTCACATCATGGTTTCCAAACTTTATTCAGTGACATGTCCGGAAATTTTTGACTCCTTATAAAATATGTTCCCCGCCCCAATTCAGCCCACTCTGAAATCAGACGCCCTGACTACAAAACTCAGAACTCCCTCCCATCCAACCACCTCTGGTCTGCTTCCCGTCTGTCCAGTGCTACCTCCAAACCTTGTTCAACCATCCTGCTCTCTGTCCTCTGAGCCACAGGACTGTCAGCAGTGCTTCATGGCTGTAACAAGCCATTATGCTGTGCAATGCAGTCCCTACGCCTAGAACTCCTAGAACGCTTTTGGCAAGGTAAGCAGATGAGGCAGGGGAGGGTGGTCAGAGTTCAAGGCTATTACATGACTGTGATCTCTAGGTCAAGGCAGAATGTTTACGCATTCCATATGTGTCCTACGTACTGCAGTTTGCTCACTTCTGTACTACGACCTTGATGGAAACGTGTAGTGTTCTAGGGTTTGTATCAAATTTGATAATATTAAAAAGATTAGGGCATGTGATATATACACATCTGTCTTCTCTTACCATAGTGCATTCCTCACTTTTCTTTTCACAGTTGATCCTATTGCAATATATGTAGAATTCTTCTATGCTTTCTGCAAAATAAATACATAGCAATTACATGCAAAATATTTTATGAACAGCACTCTACATGCTACTACAGCATTATTGGTTACTGTAAAATTCTTAAAGTAGTCATGTGTTTTTATTTATTTAATTTGTTTTTTATATTCTGTTTATAAACTGTAACTCCACTACATCTGGATATAAAGTAAACTGGTTTATTTCTTACACTTTTATAACAATAGTAACAATTCGCAAAATCTTAGGTGTTTGGTATTTACTGATATTATTGTTGCATGGTCAGCATTACATACCCAAACCTGTGCTCTCAAACTTTAGGGGTATTAGGTTGACTGTGTTTTACACCACCTATTTAAACACTTCCTATTGCCTTGTCATGTGCTTAATGAGTCCATCGAGCATGTGATTAAATAATTACCTGACTCCTTCATTAGAAGAATTGCTATGTCTCTTCTATACTCATTATTTGCCTCCTCTGATATGTCCACCGAACTGATGTTTTTCAGCTTCAAATACGTTTCTGCAAACTAACAAGACTTCTGTTTAGAAAACATGTCATAAGTAACATCGATTAGAGTATGCTGTGATGGAAACAGCAATTATGAAGTCCCAGAGCACAGCCCACACACTTTGGCAAGGATGCCTTTGCAGTTCAACCAGTATTCTTGTTCATTTACTACCACCTCTGCTAATGACACAAAAATAGGAAACAATACAGACAATGTTTTGTTACTAACCTTCATGATGAGTGGTCCGCAGTTGTGCCCATCAATTTGTCTCTTATGATTTATAATTTGACTCTTCCATTTTGATAATGATAGTCTCTCTTCTACTTTGATGAAGTTTCTGAAATATTATTTGAAGCAATTATGTCACTCCTTATAACATATATTGTATCTTCAGTATTTTTCTTTTATTTTCTGTACATTGAGTAAATTCTTTTTAAGCTATCTCTATTTAATGATATATATGACGTATTTCGCATTTTCTACGAACATACTTCCATACACATACATAATCACTTTTGATAGATATCTATGTCACTACTACAGAATGTATCACATGCTTTGCTGTGCCCCATATGGATAACACCTACTGATCTATGCATCATTCAAATGCCTCATGTACAAATGATATGAATTATTAATCTAGATTCAAATAACATAAGTTCACTGCTATGACATCAGTAAGCACATTCAGTACGAGAACATGGTCTTTACGAGATTCTTTGCTGCAAACAGGAATATCAAATGATGGCTAATGATGTCACTGGCACAGGAGGCTGTTAACTTTATGGCAACATGGCTTAAATGTGAATTACTGACCTAGCTTTGTCACAATTGATAAATACTGTGTGTGATTACAAAAAACGAACCTTTATGCTTCTCATGGTGTTATCCACATGTAATTTCTTTCCCTGTTTCTGGCAAGTCGGACATCGCGCAACCTAGTTTGGATTGAAGAACACGATCACATTACTTTTTCCTTAGATCATTAGTACTTCAAGGGAACAGAGTTCACCTTTCCATGGCAAATATATATTTTCTTAATTTAATAAATCATGAAATAGTATTTCAAAAGTCAATGTCTTTCTTCCTTAATTACTGTCATTTCTTTACCTACCCAATCGACAATGTCTCTCGTCATCCCTGGCCAATAGTATTTTGAAGTCATTATATTCCGAGTTTTGAATATTCCTTCATGTCCACCCATTAAACTCGCATGATAATTTTCAAAAAGTGTCCGTGCTTCTATCATGGTATGCACAACTTTAACCTTTCTTCCTTTGGCTGAATGGTACAATGTCCCGTCTGTTGAATATAGAACATGGATCACAGAGGATCAGTAAGGTGATTGCCTGCTGCAACAACCAGTGTTACATCTCTTTTAAGCATCTTCCCCTGTATCCCATTTCCTGTTTGCTCCTTGGCATTATGCATGACCCACAGCTACTGTACTCATTTTCAACCCAAATGAGTTGAAAACAGAGCCCTAGAAACAGCCCTAGTACCGTGAACATGTAGTCCCTGTGTCACAATGGCACAAGGGCTATAGGACTGAGCCAGATCTCCTACAGCATGCGGTCTTCTTGGGTAGGGTATGTCATGTCTTCCTTAGATTAACATGATCAAGATGGTATAGCTACTCCTGCCCCACCCCTCGCTTAGGCTGTAGATGTGGTTTTGAATAGAGGTTCCCCCGATGATGCGCCAATTAATCACAGGCTGTATTCTGTGAGACATGTGATTTCTTTACACGGGCCAGCCACCCATTTCCAGTTTTCCCCCAACCCTCCCCGGCCAAGGCACAGTACTGAACGTGGCTACTCTGCTAAAGATGTAGAGAAAATGCTGAAATCAAGTGTTGCATTTCCAATACAAACTGTTGTTATCATTGGTATTGAAAATTATTACAAGACACACATAACAAAGAAATCTATACACTGTATAATTCGTACTTGTGTGAGTACAAGGTGGGACTTTCAGTATATGGTTATGATTATTTATTTCTGTTTTGTAAATTAGAAATAATTGCTCAATGAGCAGATAGTGACTGTTGTTGTTGCTTTTCATACCAAAGGACAATATTCCTAAGACATGAACAGTGATCATTTCAATTTTCAAAAAATTATAATTATAATTAGTTTATATGGTAACTGACCATTATTTCCCTGGTATGCATAGATAGCAATCTAATTTATTAAATGAACTGAGTGAAGGTAATGCTGACAATCACAGTAATAGTGAAGGTTAGGTAAACATTCCAAATAATACCAATGTTGGGACTGCAGTTCAATCCTGTACATCAAGTATCATCTATTGTAATGTGATTCTTCGATTAAAAAAGGATTCCTTGCCTTCCAAAGAGAATCTACTACCAAATCTTCGAAGGTTAAATCGTCCAGCCTTATTCATTCCTTCCGGATATGTGTTACTTGTTATGTATGCCAAAACATTTTTTATTTTCTCCTCAAAACATTTCCCTGAGAATTGTTCAAAACAGGAAATAGTTAGTGAATTTTAAAATAGGAAAATCAATCAATATAACAGTCAGTTCAATTAGAAAATATGAGATGAATATTGCATACGTATAAGCAAGGTCAAACAATATTAACATGGCCTGATTGTCAAGCCACTGACAATACAGACATACATTAAGTTAAGGACCATGCACAATTCTCCAGAATTGATGTGTGACCAAAAAAGGATGTATCCCATCAATGATGATCTAATGTTTTTTGAGAGTGCTATTACCTAGAACCTTGGTTATAGTCATTGCTTGACAAATAAGAGAAAACATGACTTGACAGACAGAAAAGGGACTGGCCACCACAAGAAAAAAATGTACTTAAAGCTAATAAATTCCGAGTAATAATAAGAACAGTATTTGCAAATACATTAGTAATAAAATATGCTCCCTGTTATCAATGCATGCATTATAATCTTCAACTTTCTGCCCTATTTTTCCATGTCTCCTCCCATTTGCTCCAGAAGCTACCCTATAAAATGCTGCCTCCTAACCCCTAAAACTCATAGTTCATAAAGCAGATGAATGAACAATAAAACAGTTCTGTATGAATATTGGACAAGTAAACGTACCTTCCATAATGATGTGTGTAGTACAGGAAAGTTTTTGCGTGTTGAAAATATATGTGGAACAGATACTGTAGAAAAAATATTATGGATGTGAATTAAAAGAAATAAGTAGAACACTTGGGGTGTGTCTAGACTACAGGGTTTTGTCGACAAAAGTGGACTTTTGTCAACAAAACTATACCTGCGTCCACACTGCCTTTGAGTTATGTCGACATATGTAAACACCATTCTATGAGGAATAATGTCTTTTATCGACAGAGTTCTGTCGACAGAAGGCATTATTACATCTACACTGTCCTTTGCGTCCACGGGAATATGGGGGGAACTGAACAGTTAATGAATATGGGCGGGGGATTATGGGGGGGCACAGGGCATAGCGGTCTGTGGGAAGGCAATAGGCATAGCGATTTGTGGGGGTCTCTGGGTGCTGTGGCACTGTGTCTAGGAGGTTAGAGGGGTGCTAGGCAGAGTAGCACAGTGCGGCATGGGCCTGCCCACAATAAGAAGAAGCATGATGGTATCAGCTCAGTGCCAGGAGGGCTACTGTATGTCAGTTTGTAATGGACAGAGTCGCTATGAGGCTGTGGTCACCAACCAGTAGATAGGGATATACTGGTAGATCTTGTAGCCTCTGTCAGGTGATCCTGACTGGTGTGGGCAAGAGGATATCAAGTGCCAGCACTTACATGCCCCTCCCCCCACTGCTGTGGATGTCCTGCACTTTGCCTTGCAGCTGATACCACGCCTGGGAGTCTGCTGCTTTGTGTGCACGGCAGGGGAGGAAAAAGAGGGGTGCTGATGTCAGGGTTCAACATATACCATTCTGTATCCTTTCAACACAGGACCAGGGATGGAGTTTTCTTGCAGCTTTAGGTAGTGTTACAGGGCAAGGCCATGGGTGAGCCTGCCTTAGGCACACTCCACCACCATCTAGGAGTCACCAGCAGTGACAAAATGGAGCATACATCACTAACTCCTACCCCTGGCATGAACCCAGTCCTGTATCCAAGCCCTTATCATTGCTCTGAGCACCCATGCATCCAAATACCCTGCCAAAGCCTGCACCTAGAACACCACAGTAAATGCATGCTCCAAGAGCTGATCAGAGCCCTTCTCACACTCCAGATCCCTTAAGCAAAGACCAGAGCATGTGCACCCAACCGTCTGTCCCAGGCTGATGAAAGAGACTGAGGATGGGCAAGAGAGGGAGGATAGAGGGTGCAGGATCTGGGACTTGGAGAAGGGGTAAGAAGGAAGCGGGAAAAGGGTACATATATAAGGTACATATTGGATTGCACTTTCAAAATGTTGGAGCCCCCTGCTCTGAGTTCTCTGACCCATGTCCCCATTGACTACGGGAGGAATCACTAAAATTTCACTTGGCCATGTTGGCGAGGAGTCCTGTGGCACCTTATAGACGAACTGAAGATAGTGCCACAGGACTCCTCAACGATTCTTCAGATTCAGACTAACACGGCGACCCCTCCGATACTTGCCCATGTTTGGTGATGAGGATCTGGGACGGAGTTTGGGTGCATGAGGGGTGCTTGCTAGGAGGAGTTTGGGGGACAGGTGGGGGCTCTGCCATGGGTCAGGGGATTGCAGTACAGGAGAGGGTGTGGATGGGAGGGACTTTAACACATCAGCATAGTACACAAGAGAAAGGAGATGCAGTGACTTCTGATAGACAGAGAAATGAAGAGAAAACTATTAAATACTAAAAAAGGGAGACGCAGAGTTTGAGACAGGAACTGTATGTAGAATATTTCACACTTGTACACATACAGAGGAACGGTGGTGTCTAAGCATTGACCATCTAGGAATTGGGAGGCCTGTGCCTTTAAGAACTCAAGCCCAGGAGCCCGCCCCCTTCTCAGGGGCTGACAGGCAGCATCCAGGGAAAATAAAGAAAAAAAAGACTTTGCACCCCTGGAAAACCGATATTTACAAGGACATCAGGTGGCTTGTCCCGCTGGGTGACTGTTCCCACCTCTCCCCCTCTGTAAACGGGGGTTTTGTCCGCGCACAGGGTCTGGCAGTGTCCCCCCGCCTGGGCTTAACCAAGGCTACCATCCCCCACCCTCCGATTTTTCAAATTTTGCCCCTCTTCTGCAGCTAAAAAAAGAAGATCGATGCCTCCAGCCGGTAAATTTCTGCCCCATGCTCAGAACCTGACACACACACCCCTGCAATTTGCCCCCCTTCATCATTTTAAACACCTCCAAAGAGGAGGAAGCAAATCTGAGGAGGCAGCTCCTGAGGTCTCTTCCAGCCCTATGATTTTATGTATTATATATGCATAATATAGGCTTGTATGATGTGTGTATTGTACATACATAATACAGTCATATAAGAATACAGACCCTTGGAATAAAAACTAAAATTATTCATTCTCCCTATATGACTTTACAAGCCCATCTGCTCTACAGGAAAATGCATCTTAAATGAGAAGCATTTGATCAAGTCCCCCCCAAGCACCACGCGCCCGGGGCCGGCGCCCCCTGCAAACGCCGCGCGCCCGGGGCTGGCTCTTTCCCCCCTCCCCCCAAGCGCCGCGCACCCAGAGCGCGGGCGGCCAATCCGCGGTGCTCCCGGGGCCAGGCCAGCCCCGAGCACTTGGCAGGCACACACACGGCTCTAGAGTGCCAGCCTATCACCTTAGCTAATAGGACCATCCTTTCTCTTAAAGACACCTGATTAATTTGGATAAAATTAGTGAGACTACTTCACTGCATAAAGTTAATATGATTAAGATTTAGTCCTGATGATATTATAGCCTAAGGTCCCCATCCTGCAGAATGTTTGGATGATGTAGAAGACTGCTCTGTATTCTGTAAATCTGCTTCATAGATCCAGCTATAAATGTGAACAAAGAAATTTCTGAAGTTTCAGAAATTTTTTTTTCTAAAATGGAATAAGTAAAGTTCTAAAGTTTCATGCAGAGCAAGAAATCTGAAACTACTAATAAAATTACTATAACTATGGTAGGGTGTCCATCCCACACAGGACCGGAAGGGATTAAGATCTGCACTAAACCTATAAAATCCATAGGCTGCAACTGGAGGAAAATCCAGGGAGCAGGGAATTGACCACAAGCATGGGGGGGAGGGAGGGAGGAAGCACTGAGTGATCTGGCTGAGGGCTTGTCTAAGCTATGCTGTAGTGATTGATCTACGGTGGTCAATTTATTGCAGCTGCTTAGACATGATAAATCAGTCTCTGAGTGCTCTCCTGTCAGATTCGCTACTCCACCAGGATGAAAAGAATAGGTGAAGTGGACAGAAGAATGGCCCCCGGTAATCTTACCACACAGAAGACCCCCCCAGGTAAGTACATCAACTTGTATGCTATATATGTAGCTGAAGTCATGTACATTAAATCGACGAGGGGGCACAGGGGAGAAGCATGATTAACGTAGACAAGGCCTGATTCACAAACAGGCTACAGCACCTCCTCAGGCATGAGAGTGGCTGTAGACAAAGAGACAGAAAGGGGTGATGATCTGGTGAACTATTCCCCAGAACCTCCAGGAGGTGGCACCCTACCTGCAGAGAGTAGAGCAAGCAAACAGTAACTTAAAAAAAATACAAACTTGTTAGTGCCTTTACTGAGCATTAAGATAAAGCTTCAAAAGTATTCTAGTCAGAGTGCTCAGAAATATAATGTACATACTGTATTTAACTAATTATATTAATGCTTAAAGTTAATCACAAATTCCAAGCTTCTGCTTCTATCAAGGAAACAAATCATGGTTACACTTGTCAGAATAAGTCTGGATGTGAAAGGAATGCAGGGCTGTGTTATCAGAGCATTATAAAGGTAAAGTGGGCCTATACCTTGAGCCCTGCAAATCTATGGACAATCTTTGTGGATCAGATGCGGATACAAATTTTGTATATGCACAGGGATCTACATATTCCAAACTCATTCCCTCCCGTCACCTCCCCTCAGTTTTTTCCCCGAAAGAAAAGCCTTCATTTAAACCCATTCCCAGTTCAATAGTGCCACAGTTGTGGTCAATGGAGGTGCTTAAAATCCTCCTGATACACAGCAAAAATGCTGGTGGCAGATTGATCACCATGAAAGCACCTGGAGTTTGGCACTCACTTCCTTCACTCCGACTTCCAAACCTCTCTGATCTCCCCAGAACTTTAGGGAAGGCTATCATATAGGCAAGATTTATGAGAGTGCTGCTTGCTGCTCTTAAAGGTTGAGGCTGACTGGATGTTCCTGATTATAAGCTTCAAAGGGCTGGTAAGATGCTCAGAGCTTTTTACGATGTGACTCTTACATGTCCTTTTTATAGACTGAAAGAAAACTCTGCTGTTGTTGCAGAAATAAGTGGCCCAACTTGTACTTGTAGCATGATCTATGAATTGTATATTAACTATATGGATTACTTAAGAATTCCCAGTTATCACTCCAAGGTTTGACAAGGTATTGTCCCAAGATCAGGCCCAGTATTAAAATTACTGTTTAGTTGGGAACCCTGCTGGAGACAGTTACAACACTCACATTAAGAACCCTTCTGTATTTACAATACGTTTAGCAAGGGCACAAATACACTAACCCTGCAAGGTAGATAAAGAGAATACAAAATGTACACCTGAACCTCTCTGTCAGTCTGCCCAGACTGGGATACTTCTATGTTAGCTGACACCACTGTGTCTAATGCATAGTCAGTAGTAATACAGATTCAAATTCCACCCAATTCTGTTTCCACTGCAGGCCAAATTCAGTCCTAGTATAAACAAGTCTAATTCTGTACTTAGTGAATATGGCCCAGCATATTAATTCAGCTCTCCCATTCCCCCACATTAGCCTTTCTTTCCTACTTCTATGTCATTAGGAGGACATGGGAAATTGCTGACTTCCTCTCCACTCTCACTTGTAATCTCATTTCACCAAAGAAATTCACACACCTTTGAAATAAGAAGTTACCTGGTTTTATTTAACAGAACATTATGCTCACCACTTCTCTATTTCAAATTCCCTTTGAACATCTAACATTATCAATTATGGTATTTGACCATTATCTTCCTTTGAAAAAGAAAAATATATACTATGATAAAAGATGTTAGACACAGACTGTCCGGGATAATACCCAGTAGATTCAAGTGCAAAATCAGAATATTCTGAAACAAATCTTTCACATTATGCCATCTCTCTCTTCAGTGCACTATACAGTGAACACAGATAAGCAGGCTCCATGAGATTTACCAGTTCAACCAATCCACAGCAGGACCATCCAAAAGAAAGGCATTCTGTATTTAAACAGAGTATCAGTGCACAAATGTTGCAATTAGAAATAAACTACAATGTATTATGGGAAGTGGCTACCCCAGCTCCAGGATTATGCAACACTGTGTTTGGGTGTTAAGTCCACTCTTCTCATTACTAAGTTAATTTATTTTAAAAAACCCTGAATGTTGGTCCACATGTATTCCAGGCTACGTCTCACTAGCCATCAGGGGAGCTCTTTCTTCATTTGTGCCCAGAGCTCTCTGCAAATTGGATCTGTTTGAGGAGGCAAAAGAAGAAAAGAGTTTAATAGAGCTTCTAGATAAATAATGCTGTGTACAAAATTAACGAAAAAAAATGTAGTCAATGCCCCCCCAAAGTGTTTATTGGCTCTTTCATTAGTGGGCCGATATAAAGAAACAGAAGTATGGTTGAAAATATGTATTTTTCTTAATGAAAACCTTGTCAATCTAGTTTGAAATAGATGTAAAAAAAAAAAGTACCTTCTTCTTTGTGAAGTCTCTATGATATAGAATATTCCAATCGCTAGTCCCTTTAAAGAAACAGCCAACAATTATTATTGTAATGCCTGTGTAATATGTTACAGTTGTAGTCTGCAATGAAAGCAATAAACAAGAACACTAGCTTACTAACCGTTAGTAATGACCATCCTCCTTGTATGGCTGCAGCCCATTCAAACCCCAGCTTCTCATTTAGGAATCCACCTAATGTTGGTCCTACAAAAGCTCTAAAAATATCAAAGAAAAGAAGTATGGGTACCTCAAAAAGAATAGATTAGAACAGCTACAGATAAGAGATTCTTTAATACTGAAAGATTTCAGGTCTATAACTAATGTACCAATGGCACAGAGTTGCGTCAGTACAACTGGTGACTGACACAAGGACTCAGTGTAATCTATGCACCAAACTCAGATTTTGTGGAGGGGAAAAAAAGGCATTCAAACTAGCCCTGGCTTAAAGTGGTTTCCACCATAGAGGGTTTACAGTTTTGTTAATGGCTTTCAGCATGCCCATGACAAACTATTCCAGTGCCACTAGCTTACTATTTAAGTTTAAGCTGAGATGGTGCAATTACACAGCAGCACTGAGACAGTTACGTAGTGTAGCCAACAGTACTAGTCACAAAACACCAAGGCTGTGTCTACATTGGCAAGATTTTGTGCAAAAGCAGGTACTTTTGCGCAAAATCTTGCCACCTGTCTACACTGGCCGCGAGTACTTGCGCAAGAACACTGACGTTCTAATGTATAAAATCAGTGCTTCTTGCGCAAATACTGTGATGCTCCCACTCAGGGATAAGCCCTCTTGTGCAAGAGGCCAGTGTAGACAGGCAACGTTAATTTCTTGCGCAAGACAGCCCGATGGCTAAAATAGCCATCGGAACTTTCTTGTGCAAGAGAGCACCTACACTGGCACGGATGCCAGTGTTGACGCTCTCTTGCGCAAATACTTTAACACAAAAACTCTTGCATTAAAAGTATTTGCACAAAATCTTGCAATGTAGACGTAGCCCAACTGTCTGGTTAATGCCACGATGCCCATATTAAAATTGGGAAATAGACCATTTAAAAAAGCTGCTTCAATTTACATAACCTAAAGATGCATACAGGAAGAAGCAAGGACTAGTACAGGTGACCTTGAACTGTACATATCTGTACTGACAATCAGGGTATTGATGTAATCCCAGCAGTGTTCTCAACTGCCCAGTACTTAGCAGCACAGCCAGAAATTCAGTCACTCAGAAGAGAAACCACCACCAGTTGCCAATACTGACGATAAAGTGGAGCAAACTAAAATCCTAGTAAATGTTGCCCAAATAGGTAGCAATCTGAAATGTACTGGGAGCTGAGGAAAGTGGAGCAGGACATTGAAGAGCCATGCTTGGCCAGCAGGGGACACAATTGGCAAGCAGGCTCTTTTACACACTTAAGCCACCAAACAATATTATGACACAGAGAAAACACCAGAAATGTATAGACAATGATTATGTACCTACCCAAGTGACCACATTGCACTGAAGAGCCCAGACACCAGTCCCAATACACTTAACCCTTCCTCAAATCCATTCTCACTGGAGAAAAACAAATAGGTTATTTCTACTAGGCACATAAAAGTTGCCTTTTAAAATGTTCCCCGCTTGGGAAATATATTAACATTCACACAATAGCATCCAGCCCAGGAAAGCATCTCTGCACAGAGGATTCACCATTTTCTGCTCCATATCTTGCCTATTAAGCCATCTGGCACTACCTTCCTGGGTAAAAGAAAAGGACAATGGGATTCCCAGAACTCTGTGTGATAACTGGATATCTCTGTCATATACAGTCAGTCTTGTGATGGGGTACAGGAGAAGAAAAGCTGACTGATGGGTCTAGAAAAATGGGGGGAGGCCTTGGTTCCAGGAGGAAACACACTTTACACAACATGGAACCAAGAGGACCCACTATAGCCAAGCAGCATTAAAGATGGGAAACTGTATGACCCCTGTTTATAGAACTGTTGCTGTAATGTCTCCCAAAGAGCTAATGGTATTTTCTGTCAATTAACCCTTTCAGTGACCTGAAATAAGAGTTCCCTTAATAAATAAATAAATAAATACACACACACACACACACACACACACACACACACCAGTCTTGTGGCTTGTTAAGCAAACTACCAAAACCAGTTGGACCCCATGACTCTAGTGAAGTTGTCATCCCAATTTTGACACACAAAATTCAAAAGCGTTAAAGTGATTCAGAAGCTCTCCCTCTCCCTCCCTTATGAAAGACACTGATCTTTTGAAAGTTATACAGTAAAACTCCAGTGGTCCAGCACTCCTGAAGGTCCGGCACCATCTGGAACTCTGAGTGCTCCGGGCAACCAGACAATTGGAGCTGCTCTGCCTCCGGCTTCTCCGATTCAGCCGCTGCTGAAACTGACCAGCGGCTGACTCGAGGAAGCCAGGGGCAGAGCAGCTCTGCCCCGGGCTTCCCCAAGTCAGCCACTGGTCAGTTTCAGCAGCAGCTGACTTGGGAATGCCTGGGGCAGAGCAGCTGGGGTGCAGCCGGGTTGGTCCTGGAGCGAGAAGGGGCGCATCCCCCCCCCACTCCACTCCAGACCCCTTATAGCCACCCCTTCTGATAGTCCGGAATATTTGATAATCTGGCACCCCCTGGGTCCTAAAGGTGCTGTATTATCAGAAGTTTACTGTACTCCACATTTCAGGATCACATTAACAATTAATTAATTCTACCTCTTACCCCCAAGAATGAAATGTTGGTTGAAAATTATTTGAACAGATTATTAGTAATCATTAAAGTTTTGATGGATAAGATTACTTACTAAGCACAATTCAGTATCTCAGGGAACAGAGGGATACCAGACATCCCAAGGGAAAAGCCAACCAAAACCAGCATTAGGACAAATATCCAGAGTTTGCTGCAAAATAAGCATTTAAACAAGTAGTACATCATTCCTTTCAAACAAAAGCCTTACTTTCATTATTTAGGTCTGTTACACCAGCTCTCTGGGATTCAGAGATTAGTTTTCCCTTGTTAAGGGAATAAGTTACCAAGTAAATTGTTATACATGTTTTGAAAAGAGATTTCTTACGAGTACAACTCCAGTCTGAAAAATGGACTTTGTGCAAAACAAAAATTCTGATATATTCCATGTTTGTTGCATCAACAATTTCCTTCTGCAAGGAGCTCAGTTTATAATCAGACTCTGGGATTCAGAGATTAGTTTTCCCTTGTTAAGGGAATAAGTTACCAAGTAAATTGTTATACATGTTTTGAAAAGAGATTTCTTACGAGTACAACTCCAGTCTGAAAAATGGACTTTGTGCAAAACAAAAATTCTGATATATTCCATGTTTGTTGCATCAACAATTTCCTTCTGCAAGGAGCTCAGTTTATAATCAGAGATTGTTAAATTCAAATCATACCATTGTAGATAGAGAAGGTGAGGAGGGGAACCTCCATTCACTTCTTCTTCCCACAAATGTTTAAAATCAGCTATGTTGTTCTTCAAAAGGTTTTTTTAAAAAGTGACCCGCTCCTTAGCAATCCTTGCCATCAATGTTGTTTCACAGATGTAACAGAGCATATCATTTGAGGACAGAGGTAAGAAGAAGTGGCTTTACAAAAAAAATGAGAAATCTTGTCACTCTTTGGGGGGGGGGAAGGCAGGAGTAGCAATGATTTTCCATCTGAGGCATTTCAAGGTCATAACTATCCAAACTATTCAAGGCACTGTAGTTTACTTCAATGTACTTAGCTGAGGTAAACATCAAATGTGAGCTACAGCATTTACCTCACCTCACTATAATGAGATTAAGAAAACACAAAATCATAGAATACTAGAGCTAGAAGGGACCTCATGAGGTCAAGTATAGGCCCCTGCACTTATGACAGGACCAAGAACCATCTAGATCACCCCTGACAGCTGTCTATCTAACCTGTTCTTTAATATCTCCAATGATGGAGATTCCACAACCTCCCTAGACAATTTATTGTTGTGCTTAATCACCTTAATAGTTAGGAAGTTTATCCTCAAGTCCAACTTAAACTTCCCTTGCTGCAGTTTAAGCCCATTGCTTCTTGTCCTGTCTCTCTTTGGATATTAAATCAAGCTGGCCCTCTCAGCGGGATTCCGCTTAAGTGAAGGCATAGCCACAGCTCGTTCTTAGATGCATAAGCCACTAAAAAAAGTATTGTGCTCTCCTAAAGCTATGTTGGTTGTGAAAGATTGACCAGTAACAACTAGGGATGTTAAAATGCATTTAATTAAGTGACTGTGTAACCAATGAAAATTTCAGAGGTTACAGTTACATGCAGGATGGCAATTAGGAGCTGGTGCATGTGGGGAGTAGACATTTAAGTTGGCTCCCCACATGCACCAGTTCCTGCCTGTCCCTTCCCCCGTCCTCTGTGATGCTGCCTCTCAGACAGCAGCATGGGTGGTAGGAGACTCCCTGGGAGCCAGCTTTTAACTCCATCCCACAACCAGACTAAAGTGAGCAGATATTAACTGAGCCTATTCAGAACTGTAAGTATTGAGTCGAGATAAAAGGCAATGAACTGACCTTTCAATGTGCAAGATGGGAGCAGGTCCTAACAGGAAAAAGGACAGTGCTGTCAGTAAGCCTCCAAAGACCAAAAACCATTTCCTTAGGTGCTATGAAAGAGAAATCAAAGAAAACAGACTCATTCAGAAGCATTTCCTTTTCTTCAGAAGCAGCTAACACCTCACATGGTGAAAAGGCTGAGACACAGATTTAGATTAATTGTCTGGAGAAAGTTAATATTCTCTCCCTGTCATAACACAATGCAAGTCATGACACTCAATATTAGTTATGGTGCCACCGTATCACCTATTCCACATGTAGGATGATGCTGTAGTTAGGACAGGTAACAGAGGCGAATTTAGGTTTTAACTTGACTGCCTCACACCCTCAAAAATCATCTGTCAGGGGCCCCTACTTTACCTTATGACTGGGGCTCCACAGAACTTCTGCCAGAATTGGATTCAGCACTGATTGGTATGCTTCTAGGTCATGCCCACTCCATGCTATGCAGATTATATCAGGGGGCCTCAAACGATCGTGCCCCCATTCCAAGCAGACTACTGCCAGGGAACCAAACCGTGGGTTCCACTAGCAGAATGATCCAAGCCCTACTTTTCTGCAGCACTAATATAACAAAACAAGTGTCCATGTGCTGCTTAGGTGAGATTAACCGCTCCCACTACCGTCAAGTGGCAATGCACCTGATCGTGGACATACATTCTGCTTTTCCTGTTTTCCCTCAGCCAAATAGTGACCATCAATGGTAGTAGAAAAGTGATATTCACTACATCAGAACACCTTGAACATGTTTTCACTTGTGATCATATAAGGCTTGGATAGAGTGGTATCACCAAAGCCTCCTAACCAGGCACATGTCCTGAGCTCATTTCAAATACAGTAAACTTCCGATAATCCGGCACCTTTGGGACCCAGGAAGTGCTGGACTATCAGAAGGGGAGGCTATGACGGGTCTGGGGGGGGGGCCACCCCAGACCTCTCATAGCCCCCCCCCTTCCGATAGTCCGGCTCTGCCCCAGGCGTCTCCGATTCAGCCACTGCTGGTCAGTTTCAGCAGCGGCTGAATCAGGGACGCCTGGGGCAGAGCAACTCTGCCTCGGGCTTCCTGGAGTCAGCCGCTGATCAGTATCAGCAACGTCTGACTTGGGGACACCTGGGCCAGAGCAGCTGGGGGGCTGCTGGGTTGGTCCAGTAGCGCCGAGGAGGGGCGCTGCGGGACCAACCCAGTAGCACCCCAGATGCTCTGCCCCAAAAGCAGCTGTGGTGCTGCCGGGTTGGTCCGGTAGCACCAACTCTTGGCGCGGCGAGACCAACCCGGCAGCACTCCAGCTGCTCTGCCCCAGGCGTCTCCGATTCAGCCACTGCTGGTCAGTTTCAGCAGCGGCTGAATCAGGGACGCCTGGGGCAGAGCAGCTGGGGTGCTGCCGAGTTGGTCCCCGCAGTGCCGAGGTGCGGCGCTGCGCTGCTCTGTGGGGACCAACCCGGCAGTGCCCCAGCTGCTCTGTCCCAGGCATCCAGATTCAGCTGCTGTTGAAACTGACCAGCGGCTGACTCCAGGAAGCCTGGGGCAGAGCAACTCTGCCTCGGGCTTCCTGTAGTCAGCCGCTGGTCAGTTTCAGCAGTGGCTGAATCGGGGACACCTGGGGTGCGGCCCAGTTGGTCCCGAAGGGAAGCGCTAGGGGACCTACCCGGCAGCGCCCCAGCTGCTCTGCCTCTGGCGGCTTCCCTGATTCAGCCACTGGTCAGTTTTAGCAGAGGCTGAATATGGGAAGCTTGGGGCAGAGCAGCTCCAATGGTCTGGCTGCCCGGAGCACTTCTGGGTTCCTGATGGTGCCGGACCATCAGAAGTGCTGGACCGTCAGATGCCAGACCATCTGCGTTTTACTGTACATTCATACAGTGAGATTGTCTTTTTCCTCAAAAATGTTTTGGCCTTCTGTGTCTTCAAATTCTTAGTATCAATGTCAAGCTTGTTTGTTCACTGCCTCATCACATCCTGCCACCAACACTACTTGAAATAGTGAGTCAGAGGCATTCTACCTGCCCTGCGCCAGCTATACCATAGATACAGTAAACACAATGGACAAGAGTATGCCTCTATGGACTTAGTGCAGCACCGAATTCTGCACAAGGATATGTGCATGTGGGCCCTTCTAGAGTTCCATTGTCTCGAAGAAAATGGGACTCAGTGAAGGGCCTTTGCAGAAAGGGGCTCTAGATCTATGATGTCAGAACAGAGACTGCTCTGATATTTAATTTGCATATTTAAACTAACCAGGAACATGAGACACTATACAAGCAATAAGAGATTGTACTCACTGGTATTTTATCACTTAGAAATCCAAGTAATGGTGATGACAGTGAGTAGGAGAGGGCCAAACCTAGGAATACTAACCCCACATAACCAGCTGGTAATTTGAACTGTAAAATAAAATATTTAGAAAAGCATAGAATTAGCAAAGTATTCTATTACTATTACATTTTAGGCTAAGTGACAGAAGTAAATATTTTCCCTATTTCTGTATGAAGAGTATTTTTTAATAGTTGGATATCAGTCTCAGAGTTTCAGTTCCCTTCTCTTTGCCAATTTTTTTTTCAGTTCATCAGATTCCATCACTTATGCAGTTCTAGTCTAATCTCAAAAGGAAACAGAATTGCCTCCAATCCAGAATGCTGCCACTAATCTGGGGTGTTTGAAATCTAAATCTCAAAGATTGTTCTTAAGTAACTCTAGTATTTACATTTCCAATGTTTAGCTTTGTTAACAGGTAATAGAATACTATAGTATTTATAGCTTCCTATTTGGTGCATTTATTTTACAGCATGACTTGCCTTTAAAATACTTCCCCTCCCCCCAGTTTAAAAGACAAAGATTTGATTTTTTTTTAAAAGTCAGATAAAAATATATTCGGCACAAGAAACGGGAAAAAGGAAAGATATCTCACAGCAGCTGCAACAACAGAATGAAAAGTTAGAATGTTGTAGAGTGAGCTATTTTCACTTGCCATTTGGCCTTCCCTAGTTTTATAGGCCATTGCCAATGGCATCAACAATTCACAAGTCTAGATTTAAAGAGCTCAGTCTGTACAAATATTACTGAATGGCAGCTACTGCAAAGTCTGAAAATATTCTTCTTACCCAATCACATGCAAGTGAACCCCCTGATATTCATGTGCATTATCTCTACGTACTAAACCAGAAACAGAGAATGAATAAAAATAGGCAATACAATATCAGGTAATGCCAATAATAAACACACTGGATTTTAAAATATTTGGATTAAAGTAGTCCATACCGCTAAAGCCACATGAAATCTCTTGCATATCAAGGGGACTCACCTTCTCGGAAACGAACAGTGACATAGTGGGATCCAGAAAGCCTAAACATGCACTTAGTGAAACTATAGTGAAACAGAGAAGTACTACTTTTGGCAGAGTAATAAGTGTCCAGAATGAATCTTTGGTAGCAACTGCATCTATTTTAAGAGAAGAGAAGAAACCGTGTTCATTAGTACATGGGTTGTGTTTTATTTGATACGCTTATAGCCCACTGTTGTGTTTCCAAGACTGAGCATTCTCCCACTCCCACTGGTTTGAAGGTGGTCATTTCATACTCAAATTGAAGCAAAGATTAAAATGTTACAAGTCATCCCTTAGACATTTTTTTTAAGATCAGAGGGGATTTTTAGTCTCCAGTTTGGAAACTAGAAAAACAAAAAGCAATTAGAATTTAAATCTTCTTTTTTAATGCTTTCAGTTCAAAACAAAGTAATTAGGCAAGTGCTTGAGTGACTAAGATGGTAGAATAGATTGCCACTTTTCAGGTGCTATTGTGATGTTTTACACCTTTAAATTATGTTCCAAGGGCCTGATCCTGCACACACTTCAATATGTGCATGATCTTATTGTGGGTACGATGAGATTGATCTTGTAGATGATAATGCATGTGAGTAGCAGACTCTATAGCTCTTTGTATAATGGACTTCCACATTGCATATTTCCAAAGCTGCATAATTCAAAGTATTTATATCCAAGCTATAAACATCTTGTGAAGACAAAGAAATGGTTGACCAGAATTTCTTATCTAACAGTAGCAAGCAGAATACAGGCTCAAATATAGTTGGTGCTTCCTCTCTAATAATATGTTTAGCTACCATACCCCCGCTTGTGGGCGATGGCGATTACAGTGTTTAACCATAGAGTTTCTCTTATCCTCCAAAGTTATCACATCTGTGTTCTTTCATTAGTCATTATAAGATTTCTGGAGGATGAAACTATCTTCTAACATTAGGCTGTTTATGATACCTCTCAGGGTGTGTCTACACAGCAGGGCTTAGCTCAATTTCCGTAGCTTATTTTGAGTTACGTCAATTGCATAGCTTATTTTGAAACAGCTTATTTCAAAATAGGGAGGCTGTGTCTGCACTGGCAAGTTTTTCTGCAAAATCATCTGCTTTTGCAGAAAAACTTGCCAGCTGTCTACACTGGCTGCTTGAATTTCCGCAAAAGCACTGACGATCTCATGTAAAATTGTCAGTGCTTTTGCGGAAATACTATGCTGCTCCCGTTAGGGCAAAAGTATTTTTCTGAAAAACTTTTGAGCAATAGGGCCAGTGTAGACAGCAAAGATTTGTTTTCCGCAAAAAAGCTCCGATCGCGAAAATGGCGATTGAGGCTTTTTTGCGGAAAAGCGCATCTAGATTGGCCACAGACGCTTTTCCGCAAAAAAGCTCCGATCGCGAAAATGGCGATTGAGGCTTTTTTGCGGAAAAGCGTCTGTGGCCAATCTAGATGCGCTTTTCCGAAAATGCTTTTAACGGAAAACTTTTCCAGAAAATCATGCCAGTGTAGACGTAGCTGGAGTGTTTACACTGCACTTTTCAAATTTTGAAGTGGAGCACTCTTCCCCGGACTTCCCTTATTCCTCATGCAATCAGGGAGTCGGAGTAAGAAGTCCTCCAACTTGACAGTATTTTGACACTATTTGAAATAACTGCCTGCTGTGTAGATGAGGAGCAAGTTATTTCAAAATACTGTTGCAATGTAGATGTACCTCAGTTATCTTTTTCTCCCAAAACTGGGTCATCCAAACTTGATCTGATTAATGGAATCACAACATGAGACTTAAAAGTACTACATGCAGCTGGATTCTCTTCCATGTGTGAAATATGTCTTGCATTGTGGAATGCAATACATAGGAATCTTTTTGTCCTTCGTACTGTAAGCCCCTGACTCGCTCAATAGTATTCTGAGGCAAAGGGTACATCTATGCCACAGTGAGTCTCAGAGCCTGGGTCAACTCACTTGCACTCGTGCTACTGGGCTAAGAATAGCCGTGTGGAGACATCTCTGCTCAGGTAGGAATGGGGCTCTGAGACCCACCATGGGTAGAACCTGGGC